CCGGTTCCACTGCCCGCCGAGCTGCCCTGCGGCTGGGGATCTCCACCGGCTCCGGCAGCTTTAGCAGCTCTCCCCAGCAGTGCTCACGCAGGAGGGAGTGGGGACAGGCGAGGCGTTTTCCCCCGGTGCTGCAGCGGTGTCCCGGTATTTGTGCGGTACCGGCCAGCCCCTGTCCTCTCCCTGCAGGCTGCTGGGTCCCCTCGCTCGCCCCTCAGGACATCCTCTACCGCGGCGTCCTGCGCAGGAAGCTCCAGGCAGGCAGGTCTGGAGCCGCCCTGGACTTCACCAAGCAGGTAGGGCCTGGGGCACCGTGTCCTGCCCAAGGACCTGGGTGGACGGGGCAGGATCCCTGCACATCCCAACCCCTTCCTGTCCTTCCCGCGCAGCTGGGCCACTTCTTTATGGATCACCCGGAAGATGCGTTCGGCTCCCTGGGGCGGCTGCTGCACAAGAACTTCTACCTGGGCAACTCCAAGCTGAACGTCAGTGTTTGTCTGGGGGTGATGATGCTCTCCCCCACCCCTCCCCTTGGAGCTGCCAGCCCCAGCCTCTGCCACCTCTCCTCCCCACAGAGACAGGCCCGGGACAGCACCATCCGGATGACAGCCCTGATGGAGGAAATCAAACGTCTGGAGGCCAGGCGGTAAGCATCCCCATGTCTCCTGCCCTGGAGAGGGCTGGGGCAGGCTCCTGCTCTCTCCCCCATTGGCCTGAACGCTGTCTGTACCCCCGCAGTGGCTGCCCCCGGCAGTACCTCGTCTCCCGCAAAAAAACACCTCTGCCGTGACTGGCTCTTTGAGGTGCCGCTGGGGCCGCTGGCAGATTGCGTGCACGAGGAGCTGCTGTTGCAGTGGGCCGGACTGCTCTTCGATGACAGCCTTACAGGGGGAGCGCTGGCCTGGCTGCCCCCTGAAGACGTGGGGGCACATGTGGGCCGCCTGGTGTACCCCGGCGGGCAGGCCATGAACCACCTCTGTATCCTTCCCCACGGGGTGTCCCTCAGGAGGGCAGGAGGGGTCGTGTTGCACTGCCCTTAGCCAGCACCCCAGATTTCCAGGACGTGGTGCTGGAGGAGCTGCCCCGTGCCCGTGGCTCCCCAGCACAGTTTGAGCTCAACGGGCGCATCCAGCAAGTGGCTGCTGCCCGGGCAGAGGGGGAAGGTGAGCCAGCTCCAGAATCCATACCCTGGGATCCGTACCTCAAGCTGGGCAGGGCGTGGGGTGGAGGGGCAGCAGGGAGTCCCCAGGACACTGCCATCTCATGTGCTGCTTCCTCTGCCCTGCCAGATTTTGTTGGTGTCCGCTCGGACTATCACTGCGGCGTTTGGAGGGTGCCGGGGAGGAGGGGGGCGGCCCCCACCCCACTGCAGGTCATCCGCACCAGCGTGCCTGCCTCCTGCCTCACCGTCAGGTAGGTGCTGGGGGAACTGAGTTCTGTGAGGAGGGGGCCCTCCTGCCTCTGCAGCCCTCCCCACTGTGGCGGATGCTCTCGCCCCCACGGTGATGCCGTGCCCCCCATCCTGCAGCCCTCACCTTCCCGGGGAGCTGGCCGTCTGCACCCAGAGTGGAGCTGTCTACCTCTGGAGCGTCGAGACAGGGTGAGATGGGGCACTTGGGGCTGGGGGGGCTCCCACAGACCCCTGGGCGTTAGCGGGGGCGGGGGGGGGTTCAAGCAAGAGGGGCAGCTCTGCCCTGCACCAGCGCTGCCTTCTCCCCGCAGGCTGCAGCGGCTCCGCCATGACCCCCAGACCATGTTTTTTCGGGACCATTCACCCTGGCGCTGGAGCGACTTCACCGCCCACCCGCCGGGGCTGAGGCTGCTGCTGCAATACCAGGGTGAGAAATGGGGCCCCAGGGGTGCTATGGGGCTGGGTCTCCTTGGTGCCCATGTCCCAGCCTCCTCAACACTGCGACCGGCTGCCACCCCGCCATCAGTGCTTACTGGGCAATTTTTGGTGTGTCCTTCCCCAGGGGGTAGCCGGTCAGCCTGCCAGCTGGTAGGGCCTCCACAGAAGCTGCACACCATCGCCGGCTGCCTGCAGCACCTTCCTGCCCAGCTCCCGCACCGCCACCGCCTGCTGCAGCAGCGCCTTGGCCTCCCAGCCGCCGGTGAGTGTCCCACGCCGCCCCAGGGTGGGGGTCCCAGGGGGGAGGACATGGGATGGAGTGGTGGGTAACTGCCCTTGCTCTACCCTGGGTGGGTGGTGATTGAAAAAGCAAAGCCGTGAACAATCCCGTGCAAAAGATTGATGATCTAGGAAAGGACTTGGGGGGCAGGAGCCAGCAGTAAGTGTGCCCAAGGGGGGTGAGGGAAGCCCCTTCTGC